ACATACATACATACATACATACATACATACAGGTGAAACTAATATAAGCGTGTTAAAAAAGAATACCTATTCATAAGATTTATAGGCATATGCGTATTAATTAATTTGTGACATTTTTGATCATTATTTTAAAAAAAGTCGTCAAAATTACAAGTGAAATCGAAAAAAAATGTTTAAACTACTTTATTCTTTTGTGGTCGTGGAAAAAAGTGCTTAGTAGTTAATATGAAATTATTTCATATATTAACCTACCAATGAGGAGTTATATGAGATTTTTAGTAAATAATTTTTTTTTAAAGTGAAAAGAAGAAATTTGAAGTACGTACAAATTAATCATTTAACCGTTAGGTAATAAAATTAGACAAAAGTGATATTTGGCAATTATACGCTATTAAAAGCCACAACATTTGTTCTGTAATTTAGAAGATTTAAGATTAAAGGAGCCTATCAATCAGTTTCTTAATTTTCAAGATAGCAGAATTAAATATTCATTTTCAATTTAACCTTATGATATTTTTTTATTTAAAAAAAAATATATATATATATATATATATATATACCTTTTAATATTTCGGCCATGACTGCATTAAAGAATTGTATCATCTCAATGTCCATATGTTGCTCATAAAAATGTTATAATTCAAAAATAATAAGCAATATTGGTAAAACATAAATAATGAAAATGAGCGATGGTTGATGGGCTTAGTGAGAACCTGATGTTGTGGTTCTATCGGGGTCGTATGGTTCGAGGGTTTAGAACGACAAAGACAAGTAGATATAAAAATAATAGAGGTACTACCTCTATTCGAGGTGTAATAAAGTTTTGTCTGGTTAGTTTCTAATGTCCTAACTAAGAGGCAACGAAACGGCAAAGCCAGTTCACGAATTCCTCGGCAACGAGACGGCAGAGCCAGTCCACGAATACCAAAGCCTAATTTATACAGTAGAAATCACGCTAGGTTTTTTAAAACATCTTTAAGGCAACGAAACGGCAGAGCCAGTTCACGAATACCATATAACGTGATTATGTATAACTTCTTTAACCAACCAGTCAAAATTGACACTTTAAGATATTAATTTAATAAATGATCTATTGCTTTGTCATCCTTTACTCAAATTTATTAACTCCAAATAATTGGGATAACATAAAATTACTTACTTCTTTTATTCTTGCAAATTGCTGTAAAATGATTTGATAAATATCTCGATATGTTTATATATGTTTAAAAGTATTTAATTCGCACTTCTTCAAAAGATAAATAATTAAAACAAGTTCTTTTCATATATAAATAAAACGCGTAAAAGTCAGCCGACAACAACACAGGGCTGTGACTGATAATTGTTACTTTTTTTTCTTATTTCAATTCGGAGAAAACGAACTCTCTCGCTCGCTGTTACTCCTTCGAGTCTGAAAGGATTTCAGTGCTTTTTATAGTAAGATGATAGTACCCCCAATCCAGGGATATTGTTGTCAGCGCTTTTAGTGATATTTTTTGTGATATTTTTAGTTTATTGTATTTAATTATACATTACATGATTATTATATTGAGATAACATATTTAACAATTAATAAATTTACATATATATAAATAATAAGAAATTGTGATGAACATCGTATTTGTTATGACAGATAAATTATTTGTTTGTTTACAAGTTATTTAAAATACAAATTATACATTATACATTTTTCATTTATAATTGTAAGATGCTTAATGCAAAGCATTGAGCATATTATGACAAAAAAACGGTAGCACAGTGGGGTCGAGGCACAGTGTGGACGAGGCATAGATGGGACAAGTATAGATGATGTCTGACGGTGATTAAAATTACTATCATAAGAAACGCTTCGATGCAAATCTGTAGATAGTGTTTCCTTTAGAGAAATTGGTGAAATATTTTAAAAGCAACATGAACTCTTATTTCTTTAATTATATCCTGATTAGTAGTTCTTTGATTTTAAAATATAATATATGAATAAATACTAATTATAGTTTTTAAATTTAGTATGAAATTGTGAGGCCAGCTATGATGTATGGTTAATAGTGTTGGGCGGTTGATAAGAAAGTAGAGCAGAGAATAAGTGTAGCAGAGATGAGAATGCTTAGTTGGATGAGTGGAGTGACTAGAGAAGATAGGATAAGGAACGAGCATATAAGAGGAAGTATAGGTGTTGCGTCAATCGTGGATAAGATGACAGAAAATAGACTTAGATTGTTTAGTCATGGTATGAGGAAAGAAGAATCGAAAGCTGTAAGAACAGTTATAGAAATGAATGTTGAAGGAAGAAGAGATAGAGGAAGACCAAAAAAGAGATGGAGGGATGCTATTGAATGCGATTTGAGGACAGCTGATGTGAGCGTAGAAGATGTGGGAGATCGTGTCAAGTGGAATCTTAGGATAAGGGTGCCCGACCCCAAGTAGTTGGGATTAAGGCAAAGAAAAAGAAAAATATTACCAGATATTCCGGTGGCAATTGACATAATATGATTGTTATTTCGGAATGTACAATTTAGCGTTTAGTTGGGTTTAAATAATATAGCGTCAAATCAATTACCTACTCT